CAATAAAAAAAAAAACCAACAAAAAAAAAAAAAAAAAAAAAAAAAGCACCTGCTTGTGACACAAATAGGGGACTTCAGGACCAGAAGAGAAAGGGAGACAAAAGTTAAATATAATAACATCTTGGCACTACATCAGAAACTTTAAAGACTCTTTAAAACCATGGACTAGAAAGGCATAAAAATTATACCACTGCATACTGAAGCAAATCACAGGGTGAAATTATAGATAATACAAATAAAGAACCAATTACCTTTTCACTTCCAGCCAAATCAACCAAATAAAGCTTCCCACTGAGTTTTTTTTCAGTCTCTACATTCTCTTGTTTAATGTTGATCAGGAAGATACTGTGACTTCTAGAGCTGTGTTCGTTCATGTCTGAAAACAAAATAGGTGACTGCTCCACAAAGGACATGTGAATGTAGATAGCAAACCTCTCTTCTGAAAACAAAACAAATCATGCCCAATAGATGCTTTTCTTTGAAGTCCAGCCAATTTAAACAATTGCCTGAGACCACTGTTTCTTCTTGAAAACAATGCTCATTGCAGAAATAAAAGATTTAAATATCTTCAAGTAGCAAATTAATATAAGAATCTTAGTCAATAGTTTAATAGATTCTTTAGCTCTGCCTGAAGCCCCCATTCTCCAACATCCCACTCCAGTCTTTTTCCTTGAGTAGCTCACATCTTTCTCTCTACCTCACTTTAAGTCCCTCAAATTTTATCATTGAACTTAATACCTGATGTAGTCTACCTTAGTCATATGTGTGAGCCTTGCCTTATCAGTACAGTAATACCATAAGCTTTCTTAAGGATTAAGCCTTCCTTAAGGAAGGATTAAGACATACATTTTTTCTATAACCCATGTTGAGTGTACAGAAGGTCTCAAAGATTAAATATGCCTCATTAGAATAGGGTGCTGGAGGAGACTAGCAGATGGTATAACGGTTACATCGCAGGACTCCCACGTAGTCAACCATGGTTCACGTCTTGGACCCAGAGGCTTAAAACTCACACTGGGCAGGAGCAGCAGTTGCCATAATGGCTTTGTCACTAGACTCTCATGTAGTCGACCGCAGTTCGAGTCCTGGACCCTGTGGCTTAAACTCACACCTGGCACGTGTGCATGCGTGCCCAAGATCCCGAGAGGAAAATGGAGGAGAAGGGATTGTAGTGTGGCCATCCTTCCTGGAGGGTGATTTCTCACTTTCTGTCTCTTTGTCTCTCTGTCTTTCTTTTTTTTGTTTGTTTTTTTTTTGTTTTTTGGAGAGGTTTTCGCTATAGGGCGCGTGCACTCACCAGACAGACAGAGACAGACATAGAGACAGAAAGCGAGAAATCACCCCCCTAGGGGGGATGGTCACGCTGCAATCCCTTCTCCTCCATTCTCTTCTCGGGATCTTGGGCACGCACGCACACGCGCCCGGCGTGAGATTTAAGCCGCTGTGTCTGGGACGCGAACCGCGGTCGACTATGTGGGTGTCCAGTGACATAGCCATTACGCTAACTGATGATTCCCTGAAAAAAATCACGCTGGGCATGTATGCGCATGCTCAAGATTCTGAGAGGAGAATGGAGGAGAAAGGATTGTGATATTGCCATCCCTCCCAGGGGTGGAGGGTGATTTCTTGCTTTCTGTCTCTTTTGCTCTCTGGTGAACACTCATGCCCTATAGCAAATATCTCTCTTTAAAAAAAAAAAATATATATGGGGTGCTGGAAATATATATGGGGTGCAGGAAATAAAATTCTTTCAAATCCTGGACTTTTTGTCCACCAAGCAAACAGAAACCCCAGAAGTTGTCTCTTGAACCCTTACCAGCAATCATTTCTCAAAAACCATTTTACTAGATTATATGTAAGAAGCTCTAAAAGATTCTATTAAAGACAAAAATAAAAATAAAAACAGAACTAATAAACAAATTTAGCAAAGTTACAAAATACAAAATGAACACATAAAAATGAGTTCCACTTCTATATACTAACAATATAGAAAATTAGAAAGCAACTCCAGGGTTGGCCTTAAAGCACAGCAGCTAAGTTCTGTGCAAAGAAAGTCCAAGCCCACATGGCTGACCAGGGTTCGAGACCCGACACCAGAGGCTTGAAAACACTCCGTGTATCTGCACCCTGATGGGATCCTGATGGGATGGAAAATTGGAGGAAAAAGGATTGGGGGAAGACTAGGCCTTGTTGAAGGAGGGGGTGTTTTCTCTCTCAGGCACACACACATGCACATGCATATGCATGCACTCTCTGGCATTAAAAAAAAAAGAAACAAAGAAAACAACTCCATTTAAAATAAAATAAATAAAACTAATAATAAAATTAACTAATATAAGTAAATTGAACCCCTCAAAAAAGAGCCAAAGACTTGAACATTGATGACTAAAACGTGCTAAAAAGATATTAAAGGAGACACGAATGAAAAGAATATCCTCATGTTCAAAGATTGGAAGACTTAATATTATTAAGATGGATGTCAATACTACTCAAAGCAATCTAAACATTCAATGCAATCTCTTTCAAAATTTCCAAGACCTTTTTTTTTTTTTTTTTTTTTGCAGAAATAGAAATATCCATCCTAAAATTTTTATGGAATCTCAAAAGATTCCAAATAGCCAAAACAAAAAGAACCTTGAAAACCAAGAATGAAATTGGAGGAACCCAGAATGGAGTTAGAGTTTCTGTTAGGTAAGTAAAAAAAAAAAAATTCTCAATATGGATGTTGATAATGTTACATATTATGTAAATGTATTTAACATCACATTTTAAAATATATTTAATGTACATTTTTAAAGAGTTAAAAATGGGGACTGGCAAGTAGTGTGGTGGTTGTGGTGCTGGACTCCCACATGGCCAACCATGGTTTGAGTGCTGGACCCGGCGGCTTACTTTCTCACTTTCCCTTTCTTTTTCTCTCTTTCTTTCTCTCTCTGTCTCTCTCTGGTCAGATTTGAAAAATAAATAATAATAACAAATTAAATAATTCTTTTTAAAACTCTTAAAATGGTAAACTTCATATTGTGTACATTTTACTGCAATAAAAAACAAACCAACAAAAACCTTAGCTAAATGGTAAGAGTATTAGTAATATTCTTGACTAGCAGCCTCAAATGGAGAGGCCAAAATGGGAGGTGGGAGATTCTCAGATATGCCATGAGCAATCCTTGACTAACAATAATTGAAGAAATGGCATGAATAACTTCTTTACAAATGAGAGATGTTACTTCTATAAGAATGTCAGTCTTACATTCTTTCGTATGTATGTGTGTGTGTGTGTGTGTGTGTGTGTGTGTGTGTGTGTGTTTGTGTTTAAAGCAGGAGAGAAAAACATGGAGTTTAACCTACACTATACATAAGTCTAGGGTCACCTATGAAGTTTGTCATATATATTGATATCATCTGATATATTGTTGGGGTAGAAAAAAGTTTGAGAATTACATTTTTGGGTCTCAGAACCATAGAATCTCCATGGAAGACACTTACAGAGCCTAGACCGGTCAACCAACCATTGCTTACCTCTACTCTACAACGTGACAGAGAACTCCCGACCTCTCTAGGTAGCAGGCTTCACTGGGGACAGCTATGAGGCAGAGCATTCTCCTTGTGTTAGCTCTAAATCTGCCTCTCAGAGCAGTGCTGGGTAGGCTACCTGTTAGGGTCAAACAGAGCAATCTAATCCTCTTTCTCAATGTCAGCACCGTGACCAGGTCGGGATATACTGCATTGTCCCCATTCCTCCCCAGACTTCTGTTTCTCTCCTCTAAACTAGAACTCTTTAGTTCCCTCAGCAACTCTTGCTATGAACTTCCATTTGTCCACATCCCTCTGAACCAGATAAACAATGCCAGTGTTTCCTCAGAGCCCTGCCTTGTTGCTTCCTGGAGACGGACGCATGCTGAGAAGGGAACCAGAGAGCAAACGAGCTGGTCCAGATGTGCCTGCGTACTGAACCGCATCAAAAGGTTTACCATACCGTTCCCAGCTCAGTTTTCTGATTTTCTTCTTGGCTCGCTTTCCTTTTATGCAGAGGGCGGAATCTAATATGATTTCTTTGTATGACTGGCATATACCATTGATTGGATTATTTGTCTTAGAGATTTATTTAATTTTATTATTATTATTATTATTATTATTTCTTTTTAAAAAATTTTATTATTATCAAATCTTGTTCATATTACATTGAATCACATATAACTTCAGTGTATTACTTTTTTATTCTTTTCTTTATTATAATATTTTTTAACTTGCTATAAGGCATATTCGCAAACCAGAGAGAGACAGAGAGAGACAGAGAGAGGGAAAGTGAGACAGCAAGCCACCAGGTCCACGCCTTGAACCACAGTTGGCCATATGGGAGTCCAATGCACTAACCACCACACCACCTGCTGGCCCCCAGTGTATTACATTTCTTTTTCCAGAAGGAATGCCATGCATAGCAGTCAATACAAGGACATTAAAATCCACATCATCATCATCAAATAGCTTTTCATTCTTTTTATTATTATTTTTTAGTTCATCAGAGAGAGAAAAAGTGAGAGAGCAAGCCACCAGGTCCAAAATTTGAACTGTAGTCGGCAGTGTCGACGTCCAGCTTCCCAGCCACCATGCCACTTGCTGGACTCAGATGACTTTTTTTTAACCTGAACAATAACGTGGTTAAAATAAATAGACTTAGAGGTTACTCTCACCCACTGTGTCTGGTTGTTTTCCCTAATGTCCAGGCTTAGCCGTTATTAGTCTCAGTCAGCATTCCCAAGACCTCAGAGCACTGCAGACAGCAGGAAGTGCTCTTGTCTCCACAACCTACCTGGACACAGTGCACCGCATATGCCCCATGCATCCATCTGAGCCACAACTGCCTTCGCATACATTGTTACTTATATCTACCTATCTCTCTCTCTTCTTGTAATTTTTTTTGAGAGAGATTTTTGCTATGGGGCATGTGCGCTCACTGAGTGCACTGAGACAGAGAAACAGAAAGTGAGAATCTCTCCCTCCCCCCCAGGGAGGATGGCCATACTGAAATCCCTTTCTCCATTCTCCTCTTGCGATTCTGGGCACACACACACATGCCCAGCATGAGTTTCAAGCTGCCAGGTCCAGGACTCAAACTGTGGTCAACCACGTGGGTGCCCAGCACCTTATCCACTCTGCCACTTGCGGGCTCCTTCGGTTGTCTCTCTTGACCTACCAGTCCTGGGCAGGGAGCAGACATCGGAACCCTAAGTTACAGAGAAGAATTGCGGCCCTGTGCTTACTTGTGACCGCCACATGTCGGTTTGCTTTGCCTTCGTCTATCACATCCATGACCTCCTCTGGGCTTGACACGAACCGCTCGGTGCACCCCTGGAAGACAGTCAGTTGAGGTTCACCATTAAAAGAGTTGAAAACAATAATATTTTGAAAGAACTAAACATTTTCCCATATTTCTTCTAGATGTTCAGATAAATAGACTACAAAGTCGACCCATCAACTTCTCCTCCTTGCCTAGGGCCTGAATCCTACATTAAAGAGAAATCTGAGCAAATTCTAAGAAACCTATAAGTAAACCATAAAAAGAAGTGGTGAATTATTTTAGGTTTTTGAACATATATTCATACTCAACAGCAACATATTCAAGTAGTAAAAGAAGAAAATCAATGAGAAAAGATATGGTTTTGCTTTAACCTCCATTTTTATTTTTCATTTTAGCCACCAATGTTAGACACTGAAATTCTACATATAATGCTATGATAGGATTCTCCTAACTCTCAATACAGAAGCCTCTTTTAAATGTGAATCATATTAAATAATAATAAAGTAAAAAATATTTGTTCACTTCAATTCTTACCTCATGGGATCAGATATCTGTGGAACACTGACATAAAGGAAGGATATAAACATCAGTTTTTTCTTTTTTTTTTTTTTTTTTTTTGGGGGTTTTTTTCTTACGGGCACATCCTCTCTCCGAA